AAAGTCTGTCTTTTTCTGTGATAACTTTCAACAATTGCCGCGTCATCTTGCGAAGTTCGATCAGCCCAAGTCAGTTTTCGCCATGCCGCTTTCTAGCGACACTTGAGTCACTCCATTCAATAAACTTAGCCACATCCCACGCACGAAGAGAATATCCTCGATTCGGAATACTGACTTGGTACCGCCTTGATCGTCCCGGGAAAGTGAAGTCGCATGGCGATGGCATAATAACGTGAATCAACTCGTCATCGTGTGCACACCATTGCGAGGAGTTTCAGTTTTGCGAAGACGATCTAGAATGTTTCGCTGTGCATTGCAAACCAAGCGGCCTCTCTAGGAAACAACTGGTTCGCATCCAAAGCCATTTGAAACTTACTGGCAGACTCTACAACTGTCTGCGCTGCTGACGAGTTTCTTTGGTGTACCCTAACCAGATTCTTTACCAGGGCAACAGTTGCTCTGCACAGTTCTGTTCCAACCGGTCGAACTCACCTCACCCGATGTACTTGTACTTCCAACAGTGACTGACTTTCGAAGCAGCCAAACAGAAGAACCGTGAGCGCTCCCGACCGGGGTTCAGCAAAGATCATTCATCCTGTTCGCTGTCCGATGTCCGATCGATCACAAGAAAGAAAAACAGTCATTTTGGACCAGACTATCGTCAGGTCGATAAGATCAACTGCTCACTGCTTGTTTTGTTATTTTGCATTTGTTCATTTGCTATATCTCGGTTTTGGAGACGTACTGTGTGCCTCGGGGATCACTTTAGTAAATCTGACTGATTGAGGTGTTTGGTCTGTCACGAATTACGGATGATACGCTTACAGCACCAAAGAGTCTGAATATAAGACCAGTGAAACGTTCAAAATGTTGCACCATCGAGACCGATTTGAATTTGTTGAAATGACCACGAATGTCAACAAAAGGACTCAGCAACAAAGCTCGCTCTTCACGAACTCACCTGAACTAAACCTATAGTTTGTCGCAATATGAGAAACTACGCGTATAAACATCGTAAGCTGTTCGCACGCCCGAGATATGTCAAACAACGAATGACTTCCAAGAAGTCGAATGACCGCCCCTTGATCCTAGTTGGGTGGGGACCCACATAAGCAGGCAACGGCTCCATAGTATTTGAGCAGCTACAGTGCCAGATGCATCTCGTGACATTTTGTCCGCTAAAGCCACCTCACACTCCTCACGGACGATGCTGGTACGCCTTATATGATAGCGAATAAAGAACATATGCTGTTCGTACGCCCGAGTATGTCAACGAAAAACTCCAGCAAGACAATGGAGCGATGCAATACGTCGTGAAATCTGGTCTTGGAGGAGTTATTCGCGAAAGTACGGCGAATGTCCAGCATATACGGTGCCGTTTTTACCCATGGCGATAGATCAAGGTGCACATCAGAACGAAAATAAAAAAAATGACAATCAAAAATAAAGAGATGAGATGTGAAGTGTCATAGTGCAAACCAGTTTTTGACAGTATACTGCAATGCCTTGTTCCAAATGCGAGTTCGCGCGTCACTAAAGCGATATCGTACGGATCAAACGCCTAAACTTTCGCAACTCGTGTCAACATCGGCAGACACGGCAACAGTCAAGCACACGACGGCTAGAGCAGGAATCAAACGTGCGGTTTGAAGGTCGTCAACCGATAGCAGTAATAAGATCGTGGTTTATGAACCCCTGCGAAGCACACGACACTGCTCTGGATGAAAAATGAAATTTACTATTTTACTTTTATAATTGGCGTTGTCACGTGAAGGATTAAACATCTGTCACACCCTCCAAGGGAAGTTCAACAAATAGATTTAAACGTCCTGATTAAACCTGGATTAATGCGGTGAAGTTCAATAACTAGCTAAGTTCAGCGAAGAATGGTCAGCTATCCACATAAAAAAGCACTTGATTAACTGCTGAATGACGTCTGCTTCATCACCCTGCTACAGCATTCATAAACTTTTAAACGCTCGACTGAAGATGCATGACAAGCACCGTAAAGCCAATCGTTCACTGGATAGATTTTCGCCGATAAGAAAACAGGATTTTCCATTAGCCTATTTTAATTATTAAGTTTTCTTCTATATCTTGCCTCTTGACCGATTCGATCATAAAGTGTCTAAGCAAACTTTGAATCGAAATACTTCTTACTGCTTCCATGGCAATACTGCGTAAAGGCCAGTAGTCAGGAGAATCAGTCAGGGCCCAATTCCACTCCGGTTCGGCAGACATGGGCACTGATTTCTTCTGTAGGACTTGATTTGACCTTACCACGCGAAAACGTCAGTCACTACTGGCACCGGAAATACCTCATGGAACGCTGCTGCATTAGAAGAGGCCGACCATTACTGACGTCTGAAAGCAGTCTTTGACAACGATGGTGACTGAAACCGTCAGATGAGCCGACGTACTGAACTGGCATCAGCGAATTTGGGGAAACGGTGTGAAATATGGAAAGACCGGACCGTAAGAGGAAAAATCAATGGTTGCCGTATTTTCCAGGCTTGTTTATAGTCCTGAAATGTCATGAGAATCGCTACTACCTAAAACAACGCTGTCTGCAAATGTTCGCAAATATTCTCTCAGTAGTACCACCGGGTCACCACGGCTAGGTGCTAACGGTCAGCGGTCTGAGAAAACCATCAGAAGCACTGTTACAACCTTCGCTTGGTGAGTCAAAATGACTCAAACGTTAGAAACAGGTTAAACTCTTCTCTAATCGGAACCATCCATTGGGTGCAGACGCGTTGGAAAATGGTACAAAATTTGGAACTCTCTGAAACAAACCTGCTTGCAACAAAAAATACGATATCTGAAGCAGAACAAATCTGAGGAACCATTTCAAACGGCCAGCCATCAAAATTTATGCAACTCTGCCGTGCAAATTTTGTTAATCTTAAATACCAGTTACAAGCAACAATAAAAAAAACATCGAATGCTCCCCTGCATAAAAGGTGACAGGGTATTCGAACCACGCGCACAATTTGCGCTGCTTTTACACATTTCTTTTGGCAGCTTCAGATGACCAGACCGTGCGCTTTGGTAAACCAGCGAAAGATGAATTAAAATAAAAGTGATGCAGTGCGCGAGAAACAGCACGGTGTACACCTGCTAAGACAAAGACAACCAGCCCTGCATATAAAATATGATTTCATAAGCGTAACTGTGTATACGCGCATTATGACTAAAAAGTCTAAACACCACGTAGAAGGGCGAGGAAAGATTTGCGGCCTTCGAAATGCGACTGAGACAAATCAGAAGTGTTGGATCCTTTTAAGATAAAGGTGAACCTTCGTATAAATTCGCAAAATTCTTAGAAACTCATATAATGCGCTTAAATGCTGAGAAAAGTAAGAAAGCTGTTCTTACTGTGCAAGCGCAATCAAAGACCCACAGCATAAATTGCGAAGATTAGCTTAAAGGTGTTCACAAGACGGCATTCATATGTGTATGAATAACCGTGTTACATTACATCAACAAATGATATCCTTCTACATGACGAACATTACCCTAAAAGGAAGAATTCAATGAGGATGTTCGTTGCCGCGACGGCGTCCAATAAGATTTCCATTCAGGGTTGCATCCTTGGCAATAAAGGCCAAACACAGGAAATGGCAGCTAATCCGAACATCACAGAGAGCTAAGTTGTTCAAAAGGCCTGTTTGATTATCAACAGAAGAAATGAAAGTTGCAACGCCTATACACACTTACCATCTAACCTTGAAACGGCGAAAACATACAAGCGATCAACACCATTTACATTCCGTGCGCTAGAATAGTCCTTACTAGTGAAACCTTTAACTACCTCATACCAAATGCCCACCCTCATAAGCGGCTTGGTTTGTATCATTCACGATCACAAGGTGATGCGACCAAAGTTTAGATTTGTCGAGTGTCCTTCGAAACAAAGATACATTTGCTACGTTCGAGGTGATAGTGACTCGTTTCGTGTCTTCTCAAATGAGCGACC